GCAGCATCAAGCATCAAATGCCGTGCAGCATCAAGCATCAAATGCCGTGCAGCATCAAACATCAAATGCCGTGCAGCATCAAACATCAAATGCCGTGCAGCATCAAGCATCAAATGCCGTGCAGCATCAAACATCAAATGCCGTGCAGCATCAAGCATCAAATGCCGTTCAGCATCAAACATCAAATGCCGTTCAGCATCAAACATCAAATGCCGTGCAGCATCAAGCATCAAAATACCGTGCAGCATCAAGCATCAAATGCCGTGCAGCATCACGCACCAAATGCCGTATAGCATCGAACATCAAAATGCCGTGCAGCATCAAGCATCAAATGCCGTGCAGCATCACGCACCAAATGCCGTATAGCATCGAACATCAAAATGCTAGATCCTTCATATGTCATAAAAACGAAAAGCACGGCTGAGCATGCAAATCTTTCTCTATCTGACGAATTAAAAATAATCTTTAATGGTTGTATCAAGTGGTTCGATATAAAAGTATTCAGGATGAAAATAAAAATGAATGATCACAGTTTTTCATAGAAAAACATAAGTTAATTAGAAGTGACATTAGCATTTTCATTAGTTGCCGCTTATGAAAGATTTTCTCGTAAGCTATAATATAATTCAAACAATCAATAGTGGAGTCCATAATATATTTGATGTCGCTGAATTGAATATAAAAACTCCTTGATGCATATCAATTATCTAGATAACTAGAAATCAGTTGTGTATACTGAATTCTTTCAATCACCTGGGGGTATGCTATTGCCCTGGCAGCAAGAACCCCTCCTGAGCCTTCCTCTCTGTTGCCAACTGCAGTGTCGAGCCGGTAGTTCGCGGGAGGTTCTACTGTGGTGGTTGCGTCCAATTGTTTAATGGGTTTCGTTGTGGGCGTTTCTAGGATTGGGATATCGGTGTGAGATATCGAGCGTAGATGTCTGTCTGTCAGAGTTGTCGAATCTTCATGTGAATCTTGGTCGAGCGAAGCGTCGTCATTTTGTAGAGGGGCAGAAGATCTACCGTGAAATTTATAGAAAAATGAAAATCTGAAATTGCTTTCAGGTTGTTTGTTAATATTATTGTAAACAATAGATTGTCCTTTTAACGGCTCCTTTCTGTCCAATTTTGACATTATATTGTTGGCATCAACAGCACTGTCACGAACTGATGTTTGACGAGCATATAAAATCTCGTCAGAAATTTTACGAAGTACTCTCTTCCTTTCTCTTCGGTGGTGCTTGGGCCTTCGTATCCGAATTTTGAAGACTCTTTGAGTGGGAAAAGGTGTAGCAAAAATATCATTCCCACCTGAGCCCAACCTCTCGCTCTCAACCATTTTTTCCTTTTCATAACACTTATACCCCGTTCTGCCGCCTAGTACATTAGACTTGAAGTTTGCACACTTAGTATTAACGAAAGTGTCTTCGCTGGTCACGTTGATCCCAAGTCTGACATCCGCCCCAGACGCCATCAACACGGTGAGGTTATCAAACAACCCAGACTCGGCTTCGAAATTAGACTCTTCGGCTTCGTATGCCACGCCTGCCCATAACAAGGTGAGGACTACGGGCGCTGCCGCCACGACGGAGCAAGTGACCACCCGCAGCCAGAACGAAGACCTCATCGCCTTGCGGGCCGCCGACGTCGAGGCCAGCGACGACGTGGGCACGGTCAGCAGCAGCGTCACCACCACCAGCATGCAGATCATCGACGCGTACCTTGTAGTACGTCATTTGTGGTGAGTACTCGGGCAGGATTAGGACTTGAATAATTTATTTTATTGACACTGGACTGGAATTGACACTTTAATTTATACAACTGATGACACTGGGAGGAGCCCGGGATATTGAATATGTACGATATACATAGTTTAAAAAAATTCGTAAATTACGAACACCCTAGAAATAAAATATTTATATACAAAAAAAAGGAAATAAAAAAATTATTAATACGGATAAACCTATCAAAAGATTATAGAAAGCATGAAGTAAACTTAGTAGGCTTTAAAATTTTAACATTACTAATATTTCACGCAAAAGAGGTTCCTATATTAAATTACCAGCATTTTCATGCCTAATCATTGTACATCGATCATTTTATGTTAGCATTGGCGGTTCCAATCCAGAACTAGTGATTAGTGATCGTTTGTATAGCCACCAAAAATCGAAAAGCCAATAAGAGAAACTAACATTGATCATCTTGATTGAGAGGAATCACAGATTGACTAAATTGCCAGGTATTAGCAATTGACTGATTTTCTGGCTTCAAAATTGATAACATTAACAATTTTAATTAAGACTGACAGGGAATAGAGATTATAGATTGATTGAATTTTAATTTATTTACATTAATCAGGGATTAGAGATAATAGATTACATGCATATTGCTCATGTTTGCACCTCTTCAGTACTGACCATTTACCAGTAGAGCAGACGATGATGCCCGTCACGAGGGCGCCCAGTACAGAACCCACGACCAGCCCCTGCTCGTATTGCGGGAACGGACGAGTCCTGTAACTCCACTCCTGCTTCCAGCCCCACCACCTGCCACCTCCTCCACCTCCCCACGACCACCTGCAACAACGGATTACCACCTGCAACAACGGATTACCACCTGCAACAACGGATTACCGCCTGCAACAACGGATTACCACCTGCAACAACGGATTACCGCCTGCAACAACGGATTACCACCTGCAACAAAAAGAAGAGAAAGAAGTGAAACTGAACTTATATTTTTTTCATATTCAAGCTTATTACGGTACTTGGCTTCAACGAACACTTTGATTCGATAGTAAAATTGTTCACGATACTCCCACTTAACATGTGATACTAACACGATACTCCCACTTAATAACTCCCACTTAACATGTCTTTCATATTGCAGAGAAAATTTTCAATCAAAACATACTTTTAGGCCTTTTTTTCCTTTGCATGCATAAATAATTGTTTACTGAACGCAAATGAATTAAAAAATTAATTCGTTATTTAAATATTACTCATATAATGTTCAAAATACTTGATGAAAATAGCTGATATTCAATAAATATTTATTTTTTTACCGTGAGAGTGATATTTTTCGCCATGGTAGAGTGGCTCAGAGATGAGAATGGCTTGCCGCTGCCCCAACACTCGACGCTCTTGGTCATCTTACTGGCGTTCGCTCCTGTTCTGTTCAGCCTCACAGATGAACTCATTTGGCAATCCTGGCCACTGATGATTCTCTCCGATGATGCTGGATTCTTCGCTAACGTCGTTTCCGTCTGCTCAGTCACCGAGATTTCTCCCTCTGAAGCTTGAAGAATTGTGACTGAGAAGTTCGGCGTGGACGCTCTCGGGGTCGTAGATTGCGAGAAGCAGCTTATGGGGTCCGGAATCGAGACAGTTGATGTTGGTTCTGTTATAGTGGATGAGGGGTCAGCCATGAAGTTTAGATGACCACTGCTGTCTGGAGGTAAAGTTGAGCTTCGGGAATTAGCAAAGTTTGTTGTTGATGGGGGATATTGAGAGTCGTGCACATTTTTCTTGTTGGCCACTTCAGTAATATTTTCCGCGGCTCTAGTGCCGCAATTTAATTTGCCATTTTTCAAGATGTCCATCGGCAGTTCAGACTTATACTGATCGGTGTCATGGGTAGAAAACTTGACAGCAATGTCCCTCTTGAGGTCATTTCCCGTGCCTTTTAATGAATTTGGTTCTACTTCTTCGTCAAGCTCCTGCAAAATAAATGACGCTCCATTTAACATTTTACTAATTGAAACTTTTATGATTAACTAGCTAATGTCACCGTGATGATTAATAAATGGCGCGGACAAGGTTCAGTTACCAAATTTACGACATTAAAAAGTCAGACATGAAATTCGAAGTAAATCGAATCCTAGCCACAATGTCATACTCTATGTCGTAAAAAAGCACATTATTTTTATGAATGAGTGTTACTGTAATAAATTGCCTTATGATTGATTAGAGGAAAAAGTGTCAATTCATTTGGAGAATAAAATTATTTAATACCTCTTGATATTTAATATAGTGACAAGATACTTTACAAATCGCAAGTAATGGGAACTATTTTTTCTGTATTCCTACTGTTTGAAAAAATTTACAATTTTGATCTTCTTCTCATCTGTTTGATATTTTCTTAAAAACATAAGTGATAAGTATATAGCGGCAAGAATTGTATAGTATATAGATGCATTAATGGTATAAATTATTCTTCTCTCCAGAGATCTTCACAATGAAGAACAAAAAGCTTGTACCTAATTTTCAAACTGTGACGAGTTGAATTATTTGTGAAAATGAAACTCATTTAAAATGCCGAAGAGGTTAGGTGTTGACAAGGGTTTCTACACAATTAATAAACTTTAATACTAATTACTAATAACTACAAAAAGTCTTGAAATGCAAGCATTCCAATATTTTCTCTTTCAATTCAATGCACGGTAATGTTTGAATTCATATAAATAAAATAAATGTAGAAAATTACTTCAATTTCGACACTTCAGCTTGTAACGCGGACTCGTATTCTGACCAGAGAGATGAAATGATCCAATATTATTTCAGTATGTTGTGCCTTTTGCTCACGCTGAAGCAAAGATCGTTCATTTTAAATCAAATACCCCAGTCTGTTGAAAATGAAATGACATGCACAGGACACCAAAGGACTCAATTAAATCTCGTCTCAATAGTTTTCATAAATGGAGAAGGATTTTTCTAAATCGGAAAGTTTTGAGTCATGACGATGCAACGAACAGTCGCCTTGCGTTAGCAGATTTGAACGAAATGTCCATCATTTAAGTAAAACATGATATGCTTTCAAGGCCACTGCCTGCCTCCTTCTTGGAATCTGGAGCAGCCATCGTCTAAGAGCTAAGCATCTCGCATTCAAGAGCGCGAACAGTTCACAAAGAGGCAGCGCTAGTGCACATCGAGACCGGAGTGCTATTCGGGAGATTCTTTGGAGCAACGACGTGCTTTGATTTCTGTTTGAAGAAGATCGATGTATACATTCTGCGGGCATTCGAACTTTGGTGGCGGCTGAAAGCGAATGTTTAAAACTCTAAGAATGAAGAAAAGAATCGCCTCCGACTATAATGAAATTATAACATCATAAATTTATTACTGTAATTTTTATTTGTAACTACGACATTTAAGATTTGACGACATTTCAGATTTAAAGTAATACCACATAGAATTTATGAAGATGAAGGTCAAATTGAAATCCAGGATGGATATAATTACGCTAACTGTTATGTCATATAATTTTGTTAGAGTAATTTTTTTTGGTAAATTTTTAACTTTTACTTCGGAATCAGACTTGAGCCATCGCTTTTGATCGGCATTTTCTCATTCAAAATTACTCATCAGAATGTCCATGTAGTGAACGTACCTCATTTTTTTTTACCAACGGAGGCATGTAATTCTTTTAATCAAAATTGAAATACAGAGGGGACATGAATCATGTATTATTTTTTCGTAAACAAAGAGCTTAATTGTATAGAAAATTTCCTAACCTTTGGGTTGACGATGAGGTAGGTCTGTACTTTGAGGTCAGCCAGCAGCTGGTCTCTGAGGTGTCCGTCCCCAGACTCGACCTGGAACCTGCCGTCCAGCTGAGCCAGCGTAGCCCCGGTGATATGCACGCGACTGCACGCACAGAGCAATACGTCCGCAAGTGAGAGAACTAATCCTTCATTAATCATAATTAACAATTATAACTCAATTTGTTAGTGCATAATAGTCAAAAGAGCTCTGAGGGCACAATAGATAAAAATAGCTCCGAGTGCACAATAGATAAAAATAGCTGCACATGGTGATAAATAGCGCACATGGTGAATTTTAAGAAACTGAGAGGAATAATTTCTAAATTTTATCGATGCACATATTCTATCAATGCACATATTCCAATCGAGCACCGGCGATTTTAAAAATAATTACGCGGTTATGCCTGGAAGAAAACTTGCAAATTTTGTACTTCAGTTTTGCTATTGACTTGTAGCTCCTCTTCCTGTAACTCTACTTCAGGTGCAGATAATTATCCAAATTAAGGAAGACAATGAGAACATAGTTACTAACACCCCAGCAGCGCCACCTGCAGGCCAGGAGCTAACCACCAAGGTGCGCCTGGAATCCTGATGAGGATGTGTTTAGTTCAATGATTACATTGATGTTTGATCCATGAAATTATTTATGAAACAAATCATTCACATTCATCAGGAGCTAACCACCAAGGTGCGCCTGGAATCCTGATGAGGATGCGTTTAGTTCAACGATTAAATTGATGTTTTGATTAAAATCAGTGGTATTATTTATGAAATAAATCATTCACATTCATATATTACATTGTTATTGTTCTTTCATCTTCTGTCTGTTAACTAGGCCAGTGATGGTCACCTTATGGTGTGGATTGATTTTTTTTCCACAATTGGTCTCACAGTGAGCGGGTAGAAATGTTTAAGTGATTATTGTATCGTGGTAATTCAGTGTTTTCATCAATCTTATTCTCTGTTCTATCTCATAGAGTAGCATACTAGGACTCCATTTAAAGTATTATATAGGCTTCGTTCCACAACTGCAGTTGTTGTAAAGATTTCGTAGGCCTTACATATTCTGTCAATATAAAATTCATAAATAAAAGTGTTTTCTTCGTGCTGGCATCGTCATTTCTAAATCTAGTTA